ACTTGTTACTGACTAATAAAATGCAGCAGAGCCAGGAGCTGGTGACTCATGCCTGTCATCCTAGCCACTCAGGAGGTGGAGATCAGGAGGATCGAGGTTTGAAGCCAGCCTGGGCAAACAGTCCTTGAGACCCTATCTCGAAAATACGCAATACAAAAAAAGGGCTGGTGGAGTGGCTGAAGGTGAAGGCCCTGAGTTCAAACCCCAGTACTGCACAATAAATAAATTAAATAAATAAATAAATAAATAAAACGCAGCAGAAGTGATGTCATACAACTGTTAAATCTAGGTGTCAAGGTGCTGTGTAGTTTTCACTCTCGTTCTGCCACTATGTTAAGAATAAATCTTAGCTTGGCTGCTGCAAAGGCAGATGGGTGAGGACTACAGTGTCCCAGTCAACATCCGGCATGCTCAGTAAGCATGTGAGCGAAGCTGACTGGTACTGCTGCTGATTGACCTCACACGAGGCCCGCAGAAGAAGCACCTAGTTGAGCCCATCCCTAACGGCTGGTATACGGCATGAAGAACTCATAAAATGAGCCAGACACCTGTGTCTCACACCTAGCTCCCTGGGAGGCTGAGATTGGGAGTATCATGATTCAAGACCAGCCCAGGGGAAATAGTTTGAGAGAGACCCCATCTTAAAATAACTGGAGCAAAATGGACTGGAGGTGTGGCTCAAGTGGTAGAGCACCTGTTTTCCAAGCATAAAGCCCTGAGTTCAAACCCCTGTCCCACATAAGAAAAGAGCTAATAAAATGTGATTATTTCAAGCTACTAAATTTTGGAGCAATTCATTACCTAATAATAAAGAGATTTGGTGTCACAAGCTTGGGTCCTTTGTTTTTTACAATCTTAGTCAACTCAACTAAGTCACATAATTCTTACAACTCCCACTTCTTTCTTTTCAAGGTGAATATTTTACTTATCTGTCACCATTGATTTCAGGTTTTTTGTTTCAATTGATGAAACCTCACCTCCAGTAAAAGGCAGCTACCAACTCAAGGCATTGAAAAGTTGTTTGGTCTGGCTTCAGATATAACTTAATTCAAGGTCTCAAATGAAGATGATATTGGGGTTCACTGGCCCCCATAAACCTGCATGCTTCCTTCTTATGTTTGCTAGTCTCATCCTGAGGGCTGTGGCCCTTCTGCAGCTTAAGTTTTAAGTCATCAGACTCAGCAAACCCAAGAGGACAGTCGTTGGACCAACTGGAAACACAGCCAGTCAGATCGGGGCATGAGCTGCTCCTGTGGTCAAGGCAGGGCATGTGTCCATGCTGGGCTGGTGAGGTGGAGAAGCAGAGTGGAGGAGTGAGGGAAGACAGGTTTAGGCTCTCCAAGTCCAGCTGGGAGTTTCACACGAAAGAAAACTGAAGAAAGAGAAGCCGCACAGGTAGAAAATAACAGATGTTTTGTCTCTATCACATTGCTGGGTGAGCAGATAACAGTAATAGCCTACATTTATTAAATGCTTAATGGGTGTCTTGTACTGCTCTAAGTATTTTTGTATATTAATTCCTTTTAATCCCCTTAGTTTAAGAGTGAATGCAGTATTTTCCCACTTTACAAATGGGGAAGGCAAGGCTCACAGTGGCTGTGTTGTCCACGATCATGCCATGAAAACGTAAGTTGGCATGAAAACTATTGCCTTCAACCTCAGATGTCCTATACAGATAGCCCTGATTTATGATGGTTTGATTTTTCTTTTATGATGATAGGGACAGTCAGTAGGCAGTAGGAACCATATTTCAAATTTTGAACTTTGAATTGTGATCTTTTATTTATTTTTTGTGATACTGGGGCTTGAGCCACTACACCAGCCCTATTTTTGTAAAGGGTTTTTTCGAGATAGGGTCTTGTGAACACTGCCTCAGCTGGCTTTGAACCGTGATACTCCTGATTGCTGCAGCTATGACTACAGGCGTGAGCCACCGGCACCCGGCTTGAATTGTGATCTTTTACCTGGAGAAGTGACATATGGTATGATACTCTCCAGAGATGCTGGGTACCTCCATTTATTGGGTAGCCACTGGGTCACAAGGGAAAACCACCAGCACTCTACCATCTGCTGTGTTGGTATGCTTTTTTGCCTTAAAGTCTTTTTCACTTACAATGGGTTTATCGGGCCATAACCCCATGCTACTCAAGCAGCATCTGTACTCCAAATGGGTCACCAGTATGGAAGACAGAATTAGAATACAATCTCCAACATTCCCACCCTCTGATTATCTAATCCTGTTTCTAAGAGCACGTGAGGCTTGTGAGTGTGACTGGATACTCACTCCCTTGAGTAGATCATTTGATCACACAAAGCAGTGGGATATTCCCTCCTAAGACTCATAGCCAATTGTAGTGTTTGAAGAAGTAAGCTGCCATATTGTGAGGGACCATGTGCCTTGGATCTAGGAGTGCAACCCTTGGCCAACAGCCAGAAAGAAAACAAGGATCTCATTCTAAGGTGCTGAATTCTGACAATAATCTAAATGAACTTGGAAGAGGACCTCAAGCAATACAGGAGAAAGCCTTGATTTCAGCTGCATGACACTCTGAGCTAAGGACCCAGGACCCAGCTCAGCACTGCTGTGTCCCGGCCTCCAGAATGGTGAGATGTGTGTGTAAGTGCATTGCTTTAAGTTGCTCAGTTGGAGGTGACTTGTTACCAACCGTGGCCTTCTCTATGTAGCTCTCTCTTCTTCCTCTCTTCAGCTCTCATTCCCAGGACCCTAGCTCTGGTCTCTGTATTGTGAACCCCACATCACCTGGGAGGGGTGGTGTGTTGTCATCAACAAGTGGGGGCACAGCAGGACAGATGTCAGGTCCTTTTTGTGCTATTACTTCAAACAGTTTCTGCTGTCTGTGCTCGTTATTGGTTGTAGAATGAGAATGAAAACCTTTCTGTGTAGTATGCCTGCGAAACTTATCTTTTATAGGAAGGAGGGGGCCTGGATTGTGCTTACAAGACTAGTTCAGACTTCAATCCAGTGTCCCAGGACAGCCACCAATGAAAATCTAATGTGATGTGAAATTTGGGCCTCTGCACTATATGGAAGTGGTCATTCACTCTCCAAACCCACTCCATGTGTGTTTCTTTTCATTCCACATTTTGACGTCTTGTCAATCATCTTTCTTTGTTCACAGCCTTGAAAACAGGTTGCTGTGTGTTTTGCCCTGTTCCCTGTATGTCCAGTACACAGTAGGTGCTCATGTGTTGAACCAGCAAACTGTTTATAGATAGAATTCAGCAGTGCCTGATAGTCGGTCAGCATTCCACAAAGGGCAGCTTTTCTTTTTTACAGATGAGGAAACTGACCTGAGGAGGCTACCCGCAAGTATCAACTCAAGCTTCACAGATTTTCCCCCATTTTATCAGTCACCCTCTAAGGAGACAATCAGGTATGTCACTTGCCTATCTGAACTGCAGGTGACAAATGAACATCCCTAAAACACACCACTTCTAAGAAAACTAGCCCTCACGGGCATTCATGAGGGAGTCAGGGCTCCATCAAAACCAGGAAGGACCAAATTCCAAAGCAAACAAACTTGCCTCATTCTCCACCCGGCGGAGGGTGTTCACCCTGTCCTGCTAAAGATAGAATTGGGGCCCTCCCCTCCTTCCTGGCTTTTATTAGTTTCTCATCCCAAACGGTAACTTTTCAAAGGTTTTTCTTTGGAAGTGTGGGTGTGAAACTGCTTCCTAATCACATTTTGCAGGAGGCTCTGCGAACATCTGTATATTATTTGAAAACCTAGCATCCGGTTGGGACGTTTGGGTGGGTGTGGGACCCTGCCGTGCTGGGATGAAACAGCAGCGACACGTTTAAGATCGCTTTTAAACAGAGGCAGAAAATTAGGCAAAAATTACAAATGGCTAATTACTTTGGCTTAATTACACATTTAATCAAAGGCCGCGCCTCCCCCACTTTTAGCATCAGCGTTAAGAGGAAAAAAATAGGACGCTTAGATGTCTTAAGCGATAAAGATCTTCTCAGCCAGTGCCAAGGGGCAGAACTCATTACAAGATAAACCAACCCCCCCCCCCCGCCAATACTTCTCCCCAGGGCCAAAGGAACAGTGGCTTCTCCTCCCTCCCACCCCCCAGCTGCCAGGAAACCAGTCGTGCCCCGCGGCGCTGCTTTCACCCCGCCAGGGTAATAGGCGCACTTCCTGCGCACTCCGCGAGCCCAGGGCCGTGTGCTGCAATCTTCTCCCAAGGAGCAGCGAGTTGGGAACTCCGCCACCGATCCTTCGTGGCTCGGGGAAGAGGATGTGGGATTTGGGCTTTAGAGATCGATATCCCTCCCCTTTCCTCTCTTCCCAGTGGTGGATTCGGCCAATGGAAACTCGAAAAGGAAAAAAAAAAAAAATCTCAACGCAACCTGAGTGCAAAGGCCGCTCGGCTTTGTTTCCAAGTGAGGGAATGCGCTGGGCTGGGGGGCGCAAGCAGGGGGCGCGGGTGGTGCGTCCCGCCGCAGCACTCCAAGGCTGTGAAACCGAACAGGAAGCTCCCTCATCCCCCAAAAGCAGCTGGCCAGCCCACTCCTTTCTCCAGACTCGGGCCAGGCCATCCCTCCCCACCCCCAAGTCCCTGATCCTCGAGCTCCGTGGACGGGGGATCTCGCCAAAGCCGCGCAGAGCGCAGCGTCTTTAAGAGCTCGCACAACAGGAATCTGGCAAAGACACGCCGGCCCTAGAAAGGCAACCGCCCTCCTCGCTCTCTAAGACCGGATCGCGGTCATCCCCAAATCCCCAGCTGCTCCAACATAGCCCCCAGCCCCCGGGAAGCGCCCGGAAAGCTGAGCTGTGCAACCCCGCAGGCAGGAGCTGAGTGTGGCCGCTTTAAGAGCGCGGAGCGCGCGCGCTCGCCGCCGGCTGCCCCGGGCCGCGCGCTCCCGCCGTCACCGCGCGTGCCCTACTTGCGCGCTTCCGCCGCCGCGCGCCCCCTGCTCGCTCGCTCGCTCGCTCGCCGGCTTTAAAGTCTCTGCCAGGATCCATGCTCACATGTTACTTCCTGTATGGAGGCATGGCCAGTTTCCAGCCCCGCGCTCCCGGTTCCTCCCCAGCCTGCGCCGGAGCCACAACTTTCAGGAGCATGGACTGAAGGCGCCCTCGCCCCAGCGCCCCTCTGAGATCCTTTGTGTTTTCCTCGGGCCGTTTCTATTCTGGGGGGCTCGCCGCTGCCCCGCCTCTTCCCTCCCCTTCCCCGCTGGCAACCATGCCTCCTTCCTTCCCGGGGCCCTGGAAGAAGCTGCCTGCCTGAAGCCCGGAGACGCCGCGCCGCGCCGCGCTCAACCCCGCCGTCGCCCGCCGGCTCTCCGGCTGCGCTGCCGACTCAAGTTGGGGATCCTCGGCAGATAACCGCCGTCGCGGCTCGCGGTTCCTGCCTGCCCCGGGCCCGGGGCATCGCCGCCGTCCGCCGACTCCTGGTCCTGCCCGATCGGCTCGCTCCGGTTTGAACGGAAAGCAGCCCTGCTCCGCCGAAAGGATCGTCCCCAGCGTGGCTTTGCATCCCCGGTCACTTTTTGAGATTTTTTCGGGGGGCGCTCGGCGGCTTCCCGGATTCCAGCGGGACTCGCCGCGGAGCGTGGGGAGCCCGTGCAGCAGGCGAGCCGGGAAAGCGCCCAGGTTTAGCGGAGGCTCGCACAGAAGCAAGAACTTATTCAACAAGTTTACCCCCCTGCTTTCCCCTTTTCGATGTGCGTTTTCGGACATGCGGAGGTTACTGGAACCGTGTTGGTGGATTTTGTTCCTGAAAATCACCAGTTCCGTGCTCCATTATGTCGTGTGCTTCCCGGGTGAGTGCCGGCTGCCGAGGGGATTCGGCTCCGGCCCGCGCGCGCGGGGTATGCGGAGTTTGTGGCTGGGGCGCGGAGCTTGGGCGCCAGTCTTAGGGACCCCGGAGAGGGTGGAGGGGGCCCGGGCGCCCGGGGAGGAAAGCAGGATCGGCTTCATTGGCTCTGGCGATATTTAGGGAGGCTGGTGGTCGGGGAGGGTTGGCCGGGGAGGAGGATTGGGGACCTAGGGGTCTGCTCCCGCTCTGGTTTGGGGGGCCTGGAGTCGGAAGGAAGGGACACTTGCTTTTCTAATCCTGCGCCAATCGGGAGGACTAGAGTTGTAGGGAGACTGGGACCACCGGGAGGATGCTTCTGTGGGTTTGGGGGTTCGGAGTGTTCTTTTCGCTCCGGCGGGTATTGAAGGAGCTCATCGGGGGGGGGGTGGCGTTGCTTTGCAGCCGTCAGACCTTAAGGAAGGGCTGCTTGGTGTCCGGGGATGAAGCCGAAGGCTGGCCGCACAGGATTGAGGATGTGGGGAGCCGCCCGCATTATGGTCCCAGGGACCCGGGGCACCTTCTCCCACCCCAGCTCGGGACTGGAGTGCAGGGTACGCCTCGGTGCCGGCGCGAAGGCAGCTCCCTGGGCGCGGGGGCCTGGGCGCAGTGGGAGGACAGCCAGCGGGCGGTTCAGGGAGATCGGTGCTCTCCCCCCTCTTCCCCGGCTGCCTTCCTTTTGCTACTCTGCTTGGCCCCCGGCTGCCGGGATCGGGGCGCAGGGGGGCGGGTCGGCGGCTGGGTTGCCGCCAGGGCGGATTTTTTTCCCTGTCTCGTGCGTCCTGCCTACCTTCATCTTTGCCCTTTTGCAGGCTGTTGGCGGCTGCCAGCTCCAGACCCGCTCCTTTTTGGCCAGGTTAAGGTAGTAGCAATATTGGCCCTTGACGGCAATAATAAACCACGGCACGTAACGGTGTGCAGCTCTGCGACCCTCCACTCCCAGCTCCCAGCGTTTAGACACCCTCCTCCTCTGTGAGGGCAGAGGCCAGCTGTTTGGATCTCTTGCAGGGCCCCCAGGCTGTAGCCCCCTCCCTCGAGATGGAGACCACGTCCTCTGCTGTAGCTGGGGGGTGGGGAAGGGGTGGAAAAAAGGGGGCGAGTCTGTTTTCTTCCCTCGCTCCCCTAAGGACAGAGAATCCCCCTTTTTTCTGCCTTCTCATCCACCAGTTTTTGGCTACTTGGAGGTGGGAGGGGGGAAGGCATCCGAATCAAGAAACGGGAACGTGCCCGATGTTCCTCCGTCCCTGCTTAATAGTCGCCTGTCCCCGGGCGACCAAAGAGCCGGATTTTGGTGCAGCGGGTCCCCAGCCCCGTCGTGCGCCCCGGACCAGGGCGCGGGCGCCCTCGATGCCCTCCAGGACCCGCTCGGGAGAGGTGGGGGAGGAGGCTGGCATAGAGTGTCCCCTTTCTAGTTTGGAAGGTTGTCTCGAGGGGCAGAGAGGCAGAGCACGGTCTTATCCTCGGCATCTCAGTTTCTCTCTGCGCATCCTTCGGTCCCCGGAGCCGCACGGAGCTCTCGCCACGGTCCAGATTCCCGGGTTGGCGGCCGAGCGAGGATGTGCGCTCGCCGGCACCGGGAGGCCTGGGGTTTCCCCACCAAGGTCCTGCCTCTAAGGGGAGTGGGGCAGTGGGGCCATGGACCATCTTTTCCTGCAAAACAGCCGCCCTCCCCCTTGGAGGCCACTGTTCAGTGTTGTATTCATCATCCCCTTCGTTGTCACGCACTTGCCTCCTGAGTGGGCTCAGGTGCACCCAGGGGTCGAGCTTTGTGAGGGTCACCCTTTAATATGGGCAGTGGGAGTCAGCGGAGGCCAGCCTTGCGAAATACTCATTCCCAATTCCGTTTCTGGCCGCCTTCCTGGGGATGTAGTCAGTGTTCCCACCGTGATTTTCCTTTCCTGCTGTCGGAGGAAGCTTGAAAGCCTAAATGGGACCACCAGAGATGCCTCCTTGTTATTCGTCTTTCTCCTTTTCCTTTCTTGCCCACGCTGCGAGGTAAACGGCCCTTGTCCCTCGCCTGGGAGCCCAGGGGTGTTGGAAAGGGAAGGGGCAGTGGCAGGAGACACAGGGCGACGTGGGTTTTGGCTTGGAAAAGTGCAGCCGGCGAGGGTGTATCAGCTTTTGGAGCAGGCAGGCAAAGTTACAATGTCACAACGGTGGGAGACGCCGGCTTTCGGTTTTCCGAGGGTGCCGCGACGCGGCTGGACCTTAGGGGGCGCCCCTGAGCCACTCGTCAAGCTCCTGCCACCTGCACCCACCGGCCTGGCCACCTCCACGCGGCGGGGATGCAGCGCACGCGCCCAGGTTCTGAGGCTGGGGACTGCGATGCCCCTTGGCGCAATGAGGTGGCCACGGCTCAGAGCTGCTCCTTGTGGCCCGGTCGCGACTGGAGCTCGCTTTGAGATTCCCCACTTCTTAGATAAAAAATGCGTCTGGTTTTTGGATTAGGGTCCTCCTTGTACCATCTTAACCCAAATCCCCCGTTACTTATTTTGCTCGCTCTTAGAATGGCACCAACTTCTCGGTTGCATTGGAGTTCTCAGCTCCGGTTCTGCACACGGAGTCGCTGTCGTTTGGGGAGAACTTTGGAAACAGACCTGCCCCGGGTTTTTTCCCAGTGTATCAGAAACAGCATTTTTAGTCCTAAAGCAGCAGTATGGCCAGCGTGAGATTCGTGTCGTGTCTAGTGCTTCAAGTGATGCGTTCCAAGTGCAAAGCTGAGTGAAGTATTGTTAAGCAGCAATAGTGGGCACCTTGCATTCTTCTAGATTTAAAAACAACTACTATGAAAAAAATGTTACGACAGAAGAATATAGCCGGGTGTCGGTGGCTCACGTCTCTAATCCTGGCTACACAGGAAGCAGAGATCTGGAGAATCGCGGTTCGAAGCCAACCCGGGCAAATAGTTCACGCGACCCTACCTTGAACAACCCTTCACAAAAATAGGGCTGGTGGAGTGGCTCAAGGTGAAGGCCCTTAGTTCAAGCCTCAGTACCACCAAAAAAAAAAAAAAGTACGCAGTTTCAACAGTTGTCAGCCTAATTTGTTATCATCTGTACCCCTCAGCCACCTTAACAGTTATTTTAAAACAATTTCTACACGTAGTTCATTTAAATACTACTTTCTGTCTAGCCATTGGGGATTTAATCGCCTGTGACAGGATGTAAAATATTTGACTTGAAAGGGTTAATCTTTTTATCTATTTTGCAGTCTCTAGTTATTCAGTATAAACTCTTGAAGAAAAAACTGGATTTCTTCTTTCTGCCTTCAGGATGGGACTTTCTCTTTGGTCCTGATGTTTCGTGTGGTGATTACCTCTAGGAGACTGGTGGGAAACACTTCAGGTGGATAAGCTCATCTGTGTGCCTTGGATATGTGGGAATTGGATGAGCTGGGGTTGGTGTCCTGTAATCCTCGCTCTTCCTTTAAGTGGACTCTTCCTGTATTTGCACGTGCATGGTTTTAGTCTGAAGGGCATCTCTCATTGCTTTCTTAGTTTGGCACTCCACAGTCTTATTCTCAGAAGTATGGTAAGAGGACCTGGTGCTGTGGCTCACATCTATAATCCCAGCCACCATGGAGTTGAAAATCCAGAAGCATCCTTGTGTAAGAAGTTATTGAGCCCCCCCCCCCCATCTCAGCCAATAAGCTGGGAGTGTCTAATCCCAGCTACTTGAGAGATGTTAGGAGGAGGATTAAGATCCAGGTTGCAGGGCAAAATGACAGGAGGCGCAATTTGAGAAGTAACTAAAAGCAAAAAGGCTGGGGATGTGGCTTAAGTGGTAGAGCACCTGCCTAGCAATCACCAGGCCTTAAGTTCAGGCCCCAGTACCACCAAAAAAAAAAAAAAAAAAAAAAAGAGAGGAGCAAGGTGGGAGATCATACAGGTTTTTAACCCCTTAAAGTGTCTTGTTTGAAGATTATCCATTTTCTACACTGGGTCCCTTTGACGTGGTTATGGAAAAATTTTGCTCCCTTATAGACCGTGTCCTTAGGTGGCTGATGATGTTAGACTGGGAACACAAACAGGCAGAATGGAATCTGTGGAAAGTAGAGGAAGTTGCGCTGGGAGGCAGAAGAGTCACAGGAAAGGTCCACCGACGGAGGAAGCACCCTGTTGTCACTGAATACAAGATTATGTTGTTTATGGGAAGTTGTCCAGGGAACACTTGACGATTTAGTGCTGTGGAACCCAGCAAAAAACCTTTCAGCCTTACGTTTCTATTTTCTGAAAAATTCCCAAGTTAACCTGGTGTATTGGTATATGTGGCCATGCACACTGCCATACCTGTAAGGTCATTTAAGGTGCTCTAGCGTAATCGCCATCAGGGAGCCCCTCCTTGCCTCCCCCTCCCATTTTTCTGGCACCTTCTTAACCAAGGGAGCAGGCTGGGTACCTTGGTCTTGCCTAGGCAAGGAAAACTCATGAAGTGTGGTTCTTAGCTTGTTGCTTTACCCAAAAGGCCGTGGTGGTTGGTTGTGACAGGATCTTTATGTGTAGTGGTGGCCTTGAATCCCCTGCCTCCACTTCCCCAGAGCTGGGATTACTGGATTTGGAAGTGGTGTTTTTACAATCTGGACGTCCACTCAGTGCAACTCCGTTTATAGGCAGAATGGAGATTATGGTTAAAGCATTTGAGAATATGGAGATTGAAAAAGGACGATTTCATTTCAGAGGCCTATCTCTTATGGTCATACTCCATCACCCGGAGTTTAGGGGAGAAATCGAGGGCATTCAAAGTGCTTGATGCAGTCCAAAGTCAGCCCTGGTTACATATTCACTTTGGTCATATTGTCACCTGTGGTTTTGGCCCCAGGGTTTTGGCTGTGCCTGTGAAGGGAATGAAAGGCCTGTGTAGCTAATAGCTTAAAGGGAGCCAAGCAAGCTCATCCGCACATCAGCTCATCAGCTCATCAGCTCACCTGTGTGGGATCTGGGTCACACAGGCAGCCCTGTTGCCTTAGAAG